TTTTGAACATATATTTTTCAACACGTCTTTTTATTAAATTGTATCTTTTGAGACACAATTTTTGGATCATTATATTGACCTCGATACATAAAATTTTATTCATTCATTAATTTCATCCTTGCATTATCATATTAATCCTAATTATTGCGGTTAATACCTGCACTTTTATGTACATAAGATAGAACAAAATTTCGACTTACTGAAATCAAATAAGTAAAAGAAATATATAAATGAGAAACCCATGAATATGAATACGATCGAGACAAGAATTTGACTCTTTTTCATTAAGGCAATAATACTTTGCAAGAGTGCTAATTTTTCGACATTCATCTCCTAAAATATAACTACAACGTCTCTCAATAGGAGCATTGCAAATTACATAGACAAACAAATATACTAATGTTTTGAACTCTCTTTATATAAAACTTGATTCAAAATAAATATAGAAAATATTTTAAAATGAATATTCATCGGTACAAGAATGCAAGGATGAAGTGAATGAATGAAAATTTCAAACATTGGGATTTATATATAATTATCCAAAAGTTGTGTCTCAAAAGACACAACTAAATGAAACGACATACCTTGATGGAAAATACATGTTCAAAAGACCTACAACGAAAAAAGTGGCCTGTTAGACTTTTCGACCAATTTAGTTATAGAATATTCCATAATATTCTACTCAATTTTTCAATAATTTCACGTATTTAAATTATTTAAATTTGACCTTAATTTCTTATTCATCTTAAATTGATTTTCAACAATTAAATTAACTTCATGATCTACTCACACTGTAGTAGACGTTCAAGACTTCAAATCTCCATCACCAACGATTTCCACTAAAAATAATCGGTCAAAACAATTTTCTAAACCAATTTCCAACAAGTACGTCAGTCTGACCTGATCGTTGCAACTATCCAAAGGATTTCCTTCCACCATACAATTGTTTCCTCTTATATTGTTTCTTATTATACAAATCAAATTACGCCCCTGTTTGGTGAAAATTAAAATCCATACTTTAATATAAGTTAAAATCAACAATTAATTTTAATCATATATTTTATGGAATCCACAACTTTTCAATTACAACTTTTATCAAAATCTACAAAAAAACTGATTTTAATCCCCATCAAACGAGAAATACATATTTAGCAAGCACATAAACATCACTTCTTAGAATCTTACAGGAAAACTTCAGAAAAAAAAAAATTACTGGGCAAGGTGCATCTCACGTTTAGCCCTATTTTGTAGATATAATGAATAAATGTATGCTCTCTAAGAGTTTGCCACCATGAAATCTATAGATAGTATCAAGCTTAGATACCCTCTACTCTTCAAAAAAAACCCGAGACATTAGGACAAGATCTAGCTTTTGCATGTACACAAATGCATTCTGCTGAGATTTGATTCAGACTCTTTTAAGAATTGCTCTTCAGTCATGGCTTCAAGAGATTCTTATAATTTTATCTTAACAATTTAGAACTGCATATTGACAAATCTTTATCCAAACTTATAATCAAATTCAAAAGACATGCACAAGCCTCCTCCTTCTTCTTAACTGTAGATGAAGATTTTCATGGGACAAACCAATTCGTACAGAGTTTTCTCGATATGGAGAAGGTACAAACCTAAAAGGCACAGAATCCTAAAGAGCCTGCACTTATTC